CCGTTTTCCTTGAGTCCGCCCCACGGATATATAACAGTGGCGGAACGAAGAGGGGGAAAGGGAAAAGCCCCCCCCCCCCCCCGAAATAGGTCGCCAAATATATGAATTTACCTATATGGGTTTAAAAAAATGTGCAGGTGACTTATTTATTCTTGTGAATAATTAGAATAATTTTTTAAAATCTTTAAAAAATTCAATTAAGCCTTATAGCTCCCTTTCTCTAGACTTCAGGGTTACGGGCCGCAAAAATTTTGAGAAGCACCCCAAACATTTTTTGGAGTGCGTGGCTAACGCCGCTCAAACCTTTATTTGTAAAGAATTGCCCCCCCCCTCAGAACGGAAATCCTGCGACTGCCGTTCACAGATAGGTCCTTTTTCATTATGCCTTAAAATCCTGGTCAGATAAACCCAGAGCGACTTTATCTGTAACGGACTTATTTTTATACAGATCTATCTGCGAAAAGGCCCCATATGTCAAATTTTAGGGTGCCTCGAGTGATTTTTTTGCATTTCGATCACATCAGCAAAACTGCCAAGACGTTTACTGTATCTAATTTTAGCTGGAATTCGATTCTATGCCTGCTCGTTCTGTTCAGGAAAATCCTATTGATCATTTATCGCGACCACTTATGTGTTCCGAATTTCAATTCAGCTCTTTGATGATGAAATTTCCCATAAATATGGCCAAAGACAACATTTAATTCAGTTGAAGTAAATAACATTATACAAAAGTTTTCGAGCATTTTTTAACGGATCTAGCCATTTTTTGGCTGCAAAACTCTGCATTATCCTGAGCACTGATACTTGATCTGGCTATGAGCCACACTCGATTCTTTTCATTTCTTCTTGGTTGCGTGGTGATGAGGCTGATTTCGTTAAGTCCTAAGGTTTGAAGCCCACATTCAGGCTCAGCACCATAAGAAGCCCGGAAATGGCCAAAAACATGGGAATTGAAAATAAAATGAGAATAGAGAGTTTGCGCGGACATTGCCTCTATTTGTAAGCATGGAATTACGAGGCAGATAACAACAATAGGGAACAATCTGCTGGGTATCTTTTCACTGCTCACATGTGTATACACATCATGTAAGAGACGAAATCCGAGTCTTGTACTAAAAAAAAGTCTGGTGGGCATCAAAACAGAAGGTATAAGATTCCATTGTTTGCTGTGCTGTAAAAAGTGAGTAAGGGGGGTGGCAAAAAGAAGAAACTAGCAGACCAGCAATAAATATTTGAAATCAGCAAAATAAATTGTAACATGTTTTCTCGACCTTTGCTCTATAGCCAATATCTTTGCGCTTACTTGGGACATTGCGCTAAAATTCGTAGACTCTTTTGTGATAGAAACGAGAGCGATGCGACGTTCTCTATTCAAATTATGCTCAGAGTTACCGCGCGGGCGCTGGAACGGCGCTGACACGGTTGCGGCACGCAACAGCTCCGAATGCAGCCTCAGTAATAGATACGATGCATATACTACCTTCTTACAACAAATCTCTACGTAAACTCTCAACTCCTTCATTCCTACTCTTCCTCTTTGAAAGCATGGTTTTTTGGGTTGTACTATCTTATATATAAAGCTGAATGTCTGTTTGTCTGTCTGTCTGTATGTATGTACGTATGTTCCGAATAGAAAATTCCATTTCTGAACCGACCCGGACCAAACTTGGCACACATACACTACGGGCCCCGGCGGGTGTCATAGGCTACTTTTCGTCATCGATCGATATCGATTTTATCGATTTTTATCGATTTTTTTGCTGAGTTCACCTACGGGGCTGGGAGTTGGCATAGGGGGGTAATCGAGCATGGGGATTCCGAATACAATATTGGTTTTCAGGATTATCGATTACTTTTATCGATTTTATTGATTTTTTTTGCAAAGTTTGAGCTACGGGGCTGGGAGTTGGCACAGGGGGGTAATCGAGCATGGGGATTCCGAATACAATATTGGTTTTCAGGATTATCGATTACTTTTATCGATTTTATCGATTTTTTTGCAAAGTTTGAGCTACGGGGCTGGGAGTTGGCACAGGGGGGTAATCGAGCATGGGGATTCCGAATACAATATTGGTTTTCGGGATTATCGATTACTATTATCGATTTTATCGATTTTTTGCAAAGTTTGAGCTAGGGGGCTGGGAGTTGGCACAGGGGGGTAATCGAGCATGCTGATCACCCCCAAGGGGGGTGATCGGCATGCTCGATTACACCCCTTGCCAAATTCCAGCCCCCTAGCTCAAATTTTCAAAAAATCGATATAATCGATAAAAGTAATGGACGATCCTGAAAACTAATATTGTGTTCGTAATCTGCATGCTCGATTACCCCCCTGTGCAAACTCCCAGCCCCGCAGGTCAAACTTTACAAAAAAATCGATAAAATCGATAAAAGTAATGGACGATCCTGAAAACTAATATTGTGTTCGTAATCAGCATGCTCGATTACCCCCCTGTGCAAACTCCCAGCCCCGCAGGTCAAACTTTACAAAAAAAATCGATAAAATCGATAAAAGTAATGGACGATCCTGAAAACTAATATTGTATTCGGAATCCCCATGCTCACTTCCCCCCCCTGTGCCAACTCCTAGCCCTGTAGGTGAACTCTGCAAAAAAATCGATAAAAATCGGTAAAATCGACATCGATCGATAACGAAAAGTGGACTGTGACACCCGCCGGGGCCCGAAGTGTATGTGTGCCAAGTTTGGTCCGGATACGGCGGAGCCGGGTAAGCCAGCTAGTTTATGATCATTCTCAAAGGCACCATCGGATGAGGGTGATGAGGTTTTCACGTTATATAACAGCGGAGCCTCTAACTAGGCAGTCGCTCAAGTCTCGCTCCAAAAGATGAGATAACAAGAGAAAACCGTCTAAAATGTAGAAGCGGCCACGCTGACCAGGCCATAAGTATGCGGTGTGAAGATAACAAGAGCAAACTTGGGCTTTATTCTATCCAGAATTGTCGTAGATTCGTACTTTATTACCATCACCATATCTGCAACCTTTCTTCGTGTTATAGAACTCAATTTTGGACTTCCTTCCTCAAACAAACCACGTTGATGGGCGGAGGGAGCCAATGTGGTCGCTTCTACCTTCTGGAGCAGTTCCCTCGCTTCGGATCATCCTTAGCAGCCAGACTTGGCGGATGCATAGCAGGGGCCCCCCTATTATATAACATCAAACTCTCATCACCGTCGATTTGGATGGAATGTGCTCATAAAGAGATGGTCCGAGGGCACGCGAGGAAGGATGTCAATACTCAGAATCACTTGCTGTTTCCACATAATTTTATGGTGATTAAGTAGGCAATGCGATAGATTAACATTCAGCACGTACACAACACTTAGCTATTCAAAATGCTTGGGCATGTGAGACAAATGTGATCGGAGTCATAGACATTTCAAATTCAGCTCAGTCGTTCTGTCATAGCTTGAGCCGTCAGTCAAAGTGAAGCGTTTGAGCAAAAAGAGCACTTCTTTTACGAGAAGGACATGGGTCTTTATTTCGCCTCTACTACTATAAAAGGGAAATGAACATTTTAAACGTGGGACGTTGGCGCTTCAATGCATTATTCCTTTTGACACTAAATAAGTTCCAAGTATTTCAACATCTAGTCATTAGACGGAAAGAAAAGCTTCTAAACATGAATTGGAATTGAGTCAGCCAGTGTGATCAAAAGAGAGCCAAGACAATCCTGACACTTCTTGCAAGAATGCAGAAATTATCGAATTTCCGCCTACTTCAAAATTCTCAGCTCGCTGCCCTTGTGCTGAATGGAATAGGCAAAAAGAATTTAGGCAGCATAGGTGCAGATTCATTTTTGGGCGAAGTATAGGATAGAAAAGTGCAAGTAAATTGATTTGTAAACGAAGGGAAAGAAAGAGGAAGACAAACAACGCGACTGTCCATAGAAAATGTGCAGGCTAATTTTAGAGTTGCCAGATCATGCACGATTTTGTACAGATTCTGATATGAGTTCTGATTCTGAGGAATGATTTCATACTAAGGAAATCCGGTTGATGGTAAGTTGATTTACTCAAGTGGATCTTCCATAATTCTAGTCAGCCTATTGTAAATAGTCAAATTTTTCTGAAATATAAGTTTGAGCTATAATTCTACCATACATGGAATAAGTCTGTTCAATGTGGTAAGTGCAAATACCTAAATAAATCAACATCTAGACAATAAGTTCCATACTATACCACGTTAATTATGCATGAACAAATGAATGAAATTTGAAAGAAGCAAAGCAGGTTCTCCTGCTTGAAGCTGCCAAAAGCCACAACGATAACTACAAAGTAATAATACCTGCAATTGGTGGAAATGCCTGAGAGACAAAAAAGGAGAGAAGAGATTTTTGGACAAAAATGGCAAGCCAGTTCCAAATTTTGAAAAATTCACCTGATGCTGAAAAAGGGCAATTTTCAAAATATTTTTCCGTCAAGAATGAGAAGTAAGAGGGAAATTGTAGACGAGTGAGATTTGTGAAAAGAATAAAAATGCGTCAAAAGTGATGAAACACAAATAAAACGACTTCAAGAAAGCAAAAATTTATCATATCATTTTTCGGTGAATTTGGGCAAATAGTCTAAACGTGAGTTTCTCCAGCTCCATGCCGATACTTAGTTACTCATAGCATAAGGAAAAAAGCAATTAGAGAACAAATTATGCGAATGAACCCGCAATTTTCTCGAAAACGACGCATAACTATTCACCCTCCTTCCACTATTATGCGTTCCTTCTTACATAATTCAACGAGAAAAATATGGACAGAAGCTAGACGGGAACAAAAGCTGTGGAATTGGCTCAAGGCCAAGTTATTCATATGTTGACGCATCAACATTGACTTGGCGCGCCTAGGCAGGTCTCAAATGAGATTAGTCAAGTTCAACAAGTACGAAGTTAAGCCAATAATTACACGAGCCCTTGGGAGTGGAAGACTGATATTTTAGTGAAAATCAATGACTATAAAAACCGAGTGAAAAAAGGAAAATCCTCACCACCATACTAGTCGTTTCGCGAATCAAAGCGATAGCAATAGCAACGGTCGCGGATCGCGCGGCGTTCGCGGCGTCGCGAAACTCGGCCGCCGTCGGCGATCGGATCAACAGATGCGGCGGCGTCAAAGTCGCCGTCGCTGAGAGCGTCGCAGCTCCGCCCTGCCGAGTCGCAGGCCCGCCTTCCGGGTGCGATGTCGCGTCGTCGATAGCGCCAGCTGCGGTGTTCTCGTCGTCCGCAGCATGCCACCCGGCGATTGCCGCGATGCGGTCGCCGATTCGCAGCAGACCAGCTGATCTGAAAATACACTGAACTACTCTCGGGCTTTGTTTTATGTGCTAAATTGGGAGAGCTCGCATTGATCGCAGGCCCAAACGCGAAGCTTCGAGCTGTTGGGCAAGCGACTCGTGTGTGCGCGCGCGTGTCTGCGTGGTTCGCCTGACTTCTCTGCGAGTCTCAGCAGCTAACCGTCTCTGGGAAGGCGCTCTAGCGGCGGCTTGACCACTTGCCCACTTGCCCACTCGCTCTGCATTGCTGGCAAGTAACCAACGCGAACGAGCTCCGGCTACAGCTGCCGCCGGCCTTCCGCTCTGCCATCATGGCGCGCGGCCCCCGTCTCTAGTCTCCACAATGCACCTCATTAACTGCCCTCTAGCGAGCGGTTGCTCACGTGCTTGGATTTCTGATTAGCATTAGTAGTTGGCCATGCTCGCAACATAATAAATAGCAGTAGTGCCATGACGCGATAATCAGATTGTCTTTGGTAATTATACAGCTCTCTATCAAAGCGAAATGCCGCAACCTTCAGAAGCACAGCATTGCTCTGAATCTTTCTAAGGGCACCATCCACCCGAACTGAGGATGATGAGATTCTAATGTTATGTAATAGCGGGGTCCCCAACTAAGCCGTCGCCCGAGTCTCGTTGCAAAAGAATTCCAAAGCGAGGAAACGACTCCAGAATGTAGAAGCGGCCGTGCTGGCTCCCAACTTGGATGGTTTGAAAATAACAAGTCCAAACATGGGCGTTGATGTATTCAAATGTCATAATCCTCTCTCCATCAAAATCAAGTTGCGACCTTTCTATCTAAGCTGAAGCACAATTTCGGACTTGCATCTCTAGACCACCCATGTTGATAGACGAAGCCAGCGAGGCTGCTCCTACCTTCTGGAGCGGTTTTATCGCTTTGGAATTCATCTTCAGCGAAGTTTGACTGCTTAATTAGGGGCCCCGTTATTATATAACATCAATATCTCATTATCCGCAATTTGAGTGGAAGTGCCTTCAGATAAACTGCTGTTGCTGCTTAGACTTTCTAGTCTCATTGCAAGTCAAGTCTAACGTGCGTCTATAATGCATTTCGCGAACAAATGTCAGCTGTCGCCTTGTGTAGAGCCGAGAGCTACGATGGACGTGACAAAAAAGACTTATCGACTGTAAACCTGGATTTCAGTGCAAATTCGCTTTGAAGATCATTTCACGGGGAAAATGAAAGGTAGATGGGGAAGGCGGTCGCGAATTTTTAGACGAACTTCAGCGTGGTGCACAAGAAATGTAATGGGCTGCGAGAAATACATGTTTGGTTTATTTCATGCCATGTTCTGATGACAGTCATCTCTGCATAATCTTTTGCCCCATGCGGCTCTTGATTCAGTTAGTTAAGGTTGATCTAGCTCAAATTATATTAACCGTAGTCGCTATGATAACTGTAAATCGCAGGTGTTCGGAATTCTGAAAAAAGCATAGGAGGCGAATTTTGAGTGGTTATGGTGCTTTCTTGGGCCAAAGCAAATAATATAGGCCTGTTTGGAATTTTTAGCAGGACTGGGCACCAGTTACAGCGAAAAGAATAAACTGCAGTTGTGTAAAATTCATCTTTCGGATAGAAAAAACAATGTTTGGCTTCCTAACTCGCCCAATCTTAATCTAACGGATTCTCTTTTCTGTCTACCTGAGAGAGCCTGTTCTTCAAAACCTCTGTCACTTGATTGCTAAAAAGAGACTTATGAGTTGGGACAAAAACCATTGCGCACATGTGAAACTTTTTTGAAAGCGAAAAAATGCTTTTACGAAAGCCAGAGGAGGATATCGTGAAAGTCTTCTATAAGACATTATACAGAACTTTTTTGCCTATTAGATGGGAACAAAAATTTGCATTTACTGAGTCCCTGCAAAGTTATGAAATCGTTTTCGCGTCACACTCCATATAGAACACCCTGTACAGCGTTACCTAACTTCGTACCACACAACATGCAGAATCGGTAGAAATATTTATTTCATTCTAGTGCTTCTTAGCTCTTTCTGATTCTAAACTTCAGGTAAGACAGTAGGTTCAGAATATTTTCCAGAAAATATCCACAAAATGGCCAACGCAACACAGATTATGACGCGCAATTTTCACCTTTGCAATCGCACTCGTTTGAAAAACAGCTCAAGTATACTCTCATGGGATTTCATTGCCGATTGCCAGAACGGCTCCAGTCAATTTGCATGCTCCCAGCAATGACAGAAAGTAGAAAGTGATAATTACAACTAAACTTTTCGTTATTCGTTTTATTTCATTCAATGTACTCTGAATGTTGAACAGTGAGCTGGTAAGTCAGTTATAAATCACACTCAGCTGACATTTTAGGGTTTTCCACAAAGTGAACCCTTTTCAAATCAAACTACTTGTTTTGCTAGAAGACTAAGGGTACTATTCGATAGAGTGAAGCAGGTTATTTGAAATGAGCACCAAATATCTCCTAAGTCGTAATCTAGGTAAAATTCAAAGCCAAAATCGAAAAGAGTTTTCCTCTTGAATATTGAGTTTATGCCGAAAAGAACTCTACGAAGCTCCAAATTGGTTATCATATGGGATATACATAGTATTCATAGATGTACTTGATAAATTTTGTCGCGCATAGAAATTGAAACAAGCAAAGGTAGTCCAAAAATGGCAAACGCCGCTCAGCTCCTCCCACATACAGTGACCGCCAAAAAGTTGCGGACAAGCCGCCTTCCTTGTTTCATCGCATATTTTCGGATGGAAAACAAAGATGAAAAAATGATTGGATTGCATATGGTGATAGAGCTCACCAAGAGCTACAACCCACACATTGCGCTTTCTGGAAAACATGTATTATAAAAGTTTTAAAAACCTTTTTCTAAAAAAGGTCCGGAAAGGCCGCGTCACAATGTCGCGGACAATAATTCTTCGAACGCGGAATTTTTGCTTTAGGTCTTTGTGTGGAGCAACAACAGAACTTTTCCGGACAAGTAAGCATATCATGTCATAGATCTCATCGAGGACAATAATTGGGTAATGGTTCCTTCCAAGAAAAACCCAAGCTTGAACTTGTTCTGCTTTTTTTCAAAAAATAATTTTAATTTCCTTCTTCAAGCCAAATTTCCCTCACATGGAAACCTATTGAAGGCATTCCAACAAGGCTGCTCGGATTGAATGGATGCTCTTTGCCATCCTCTATCCATCGGACGTGTGCTGGTGAGTTTCTTTGCTGAAAATGGCTCTTGACAGTGCGTGCACATGACCCCACCTGCACCTTACCGCTGATGCACCGCTTTGCAGGCTTGTATCTCGGCCGGCAGTCACTCCACGAGCCTGCAAGTAGGCTCATTCGAAAGAGCGTTACTTCCTGGACACGATAATGTGCAAAAGATTTGGGTATGTGAAACAGCAGAGATTTGGCGGATGGGGTGACAAAGCGCAGCTTCAGTGGTAGGATAAGGATTTTTCAGCTAAAGTTGAGCAAAGCTTCTTTCGTCACCAGTTCCATCCTGGAAGTTCAAACCGTCAATTTTCTTGTAATAGATGCATTTCGGAGCTCTAAGACCGTTCTAGCGCTGATAAGACCCTTCACTTCATTCACCTCTAAGGCTGCGCTTTGTCACCCCATCCGCCAAATCTCTGCTGTTCTCCGTACCCGACACTTTTGCATATAGGGGCCTGCAGGATCGCGAGAGTCGGACGTGCGTACGGCCATTGCGCCGCGCACGTCCGATGTCACTAAGGCAAGTGCCAGATTTATCCACTTCAGCCGTTCGTTCCGTTCATAGGTCAAATCACTACACTGTCCAACAGCAAAGGTGGTGAACCGAATGAACCTGTTCAACAGGATAAGTCTGGCACTTACCTGGGCCGTCGCACGCAGTTCTGACGTGCGCGGCGCAATGGCCGTACGCACGTCCTACTCTCGCGATCCTGCAGGCCCCTATACCATCGTGTCGAGAAAGTCACGCTCTTTCGAATGAGCCCATCTGCAAGCTCATAGAATGACTACTGGCCGAGCTACAACCCTGCAAAGCGATGCAAGTCAGTGGTGAGATGCAGGTGGGGTCATGTGCACCGCACGCACTGTCAAGGGCCATTTTCAGCAAAGAACTCACCAGCACACGTCCGATGCATGGAGGATGGCAAACGGCATCCATTTTATCCGAACAGCCTTGTTGGAATGCCTTGAATAGGTTTCCGTGTGAGGGAAATTTGGCTAGAAGAAGGGAATTAAAAATTATTTTTTGAAAAAAAGCAGAACAAGTTCAAGCTTGGGTTTTTCTTGGAAGGAACCATTACCCAATTATTGTCCTCGATGAGATCATGACATGATATGCTTACTTGTCCGGAAAAGTTCTGTTGTTGCTCCACACAAAGACCTAAAGCAAAATTTCCGCGTTCGAAGAATTATTGTCCTCGACATTGTGACGCGGCCATTTCCGGACCTTTTCTAGAAAAAGATTTTTAAAACTTTTATAATACATGTTTTCCAGAAAGCGCAATGTGTGGGTTGTAGCTCAAGGCGGCTTGTCCGCAACTTTTTGGCGGTCACTGTATGTGATCGCATACTGCAAATCCTAAGCATAAACATAAATCATACCTCCGTATGTGCTCAGGCGATCGAAAGATACCAAGTTTGAAGGTAAAAAACTCGAAAAGTGACAATTTTGCATTGCTATTTTTATTTCATAACTTTGGGCTTCGGATAAAATCCAGCAGATGCATTCATTACTACTCTGTGTCTACTGCAAGTTGATCAAGCTGGAGGTCCGTAACTTTTGGAAGGAGATTCGATTTCCAGGGTAGTTGAAAAATGTTAGTTTTTGGCTTAAGTGGTGCATATTCAATGCCCATTTTGTAGAGCTGGCTTTACACTGCCTGATTGTAGTCTAAGGGCCGCATTCACTAACATCCCCGCTAGGAAAAGGATGTTAGTGCAGCTTAGAAGAAAGTTTCATATCCTGAAGCTTCAGTACAAAAAGCTGGAAAAAGCGGCTCGGCTCGTGCTTCTTGCTTCCTCTCGATAT